CTACGTACGGACGCCCGAGCACTTTGACATTATTGGTAAAATATCGATCCGCGCTATCAATGTCGTGATCAACCACATTTGCGACTACTGTTGTGAATGACCTTATTATCATAGTCTACTCAATTTGTAATGGACAGTTTGTCTCTTCTTAACTGAAGATTCAATATTGAAATAATGACCAAATAACCCGCATTAATTTTCTTTTTACAAAAATTGTTTTTATACAATGGTCCTATTATAAGACATGATTTCTGTTTTATTTCTTCAGTGCCTTACCGTGTGAGTGCGTCAGCGAGAGTGTGTGAGGGGTCTTAGTAGATTTTCTATTATATGCTCGGATCGCCTTTCTCAAAAACGACCATCGCTTGCATATTTGCATCACGTCTTTTTCTATTTTATTGTAAAATACCAGATCTGCCAATATTTCAGGGGACGTATTAACATGTAGATAATCTTATATAAGGATTAAGCCTCTAGGCTATAGGTATAAAATCAGCACTTCATTAACCATCCTCTGTGACTGCCTTTATATTTTCAGATATCTGTTTCCCCCCCCCCCCCACCCCTACACCCAATCTAGACGCGCCACCATCTTAGTGTAGTATCAAATTTACGCCCACAAACCTTGTAGTTATTAATTTTCTTACAAATTAAATTTTTCATTTTTGGTGACGTCACTCTCACAATTTGGTTAACTGTATGCCTAGGCCCAGTGTACATATTCTGATATTGCAAGTGTATCTCCTACTTCCGTTACCTCTGGATCTACAGTAGATAGTCCTACTAAGACGCAATGTATTTGATTTATTAGTCAATATACTACAATTTCAAGATGTTATCCAATGTCCAGCCTTGGATCAATGAAATGACCTATCAGAACAGGACCAGGCATACGCACATGTCCCACAAACAATATCCAAGGAGCGGGGTTTATCGGAACGGCCATTATTAATTAATGTAGTTCTTTGAGTGGACGTCATCAATCTGCGTCATCCTTTCGGATTAAGTGAAACACTGTTTATTTCCTAATCTATACATAGTGTATTTATATGTTGTAAATAATGTTTCAACTCTTCGCCTCTGCTGTGTCCATGATCATTTCAGTGTTTCATGAGTATAATAATTCGCATTCACCAAGTCCTATGAAATTGTGAGTATTTCTTCACGTGTGTCTGGATTTGTAAAAGTATTGAATTCTTACCGTGGTCTAACTAATGGCTCCCGAAGGAGACCTTGCACCAAATTCGTAGACGGATTCCGATAGACAGTAGGCCTACTTTACGACATTGATCGTATTGTTTGTTTGCCAGCAGTCATAGTTCTAATGTCTGTGGTTGTGGATTGTTCATACACCTCTTGTCTTTACTCAAACTGGGGAATTCTACTGTTGGAGCGTTCTTTATTATGTTTTCAAAGACTAGGCTCTCAGTCTAGTTTTAGCTCAAAATGCATTAATTAATGGTTTCATAGATTTCTTATTTGTTGAATACATTAAATATTAAATAATATAATATTATCTAATATTAAATTAAGATAATGTATTTTGTAAGTGGAATGCATGTATAGAATTGTGTTTTTGTGATACCGTATGTGCTTTCTAATATATTAATATTTATTACCCTCGCCCCACGAAGTGTTGTGAGGGTATTGCAATGCAGTGGCGGATTTAGAGGGGGGAGTAAGGGGCGTACGCCCCCTCTATTTTTTGTAAAAAATTGTTTTGTAAAGCTTATCAGAAAATTACCATGCTAATTATTAAAAATCAATCAAATATCAACTCAAATTAATGAAGGTGCTAGAGGTTTACGGGAGAATCTTCCCTTGCACCCCTACCATGAGGCTCTTTCTTTCTTTTTTCTTTTTCTTTCACTTTTCGGACATTCACGCCCCCTCTTTCTTACCGGGCTGGATCCGCCCCTGGCAATGAGTTGCGTTTGTCTGTGTGTCTGTCTCAGACGTTTGTGTTTGTCCTTCCGGGAGCATAACTTAAAAACTATTGGACCGTTTAACTTCAAAACTTACACACATTGACAAAAATACATGTATCCAGGCCCGTAGCCATGTTCATCCAAGATGGGGGGTTTTCTGGGCGTGAGGTCCACAGTCGAAGCCCTGGTGGGGTCGGCGAAACCCCAAAGCAAGAGGATTTATGTGCTTTATGGGTCTAAATAATGCTATAACAGCACATATGTTTGAAAATGTCTGTGTCTGGGTGGGTCTGCAGTGCATTAGTTGGGTTGGAGGAGTATTTGAGAAAATTTAAAGAGGGGGTTTCGCCAGAAAAGAGGGTTCTCCCAAACCATAAAACCCCCCTTGATACGGGTCTGGTATTAAATGATCGAACGTATGGGGTTGAAATCTCACTCTTGCTTGTTTTTTATAATAATTATTTAATTTATATTAATTATTATTATTTCGTTATTTTTATTATTTTGTGCATAGCGGATGCCACCATTCGAATGCATCCAACTTCTACTAATTATAATGATTGTTATGGAACATCCGGTATAATAATTTATACGTACGCTATAACTGCCAAAATATATTATCAAAGAGAAAGAGTCTTTCATTTTCCACTGCAACCACACAACTAGTCAAAAAGACATGGACCAAATTAGTAATACTAATAATTATAATGTAAAGAATAACAATAATAATGATAACTCCACCGGATAGATCATTCCACGAAACGGTTTCAAACACAAGTAGACCTAGACTGAGTTCATATTGACATTATAGTACAACCGTGGTATTGTATATAGATCTGTTATTGATCTCGGTCTTGTAATTGAAGTAATTAATTGATTCAGATGCAGACGGGGGATTTCTAACACAGCAAATAAATACCTTAATCCGATCTATCATACTATTTGTTATTTTCTCCAACTTCGACTTAATAAGAGCGGAGACTCGACACACAGTGGAAATACTGACACACATTACTTGCTAATATAACAAAAAATGGCAAATAATATTATGTTTTATGTTTTGATATGTGTTGGCCTACTACGAAAAGTAAATAGCATGTAAACTACGTTAACAAACTGGGAAAACACCAACACTGCAATACCCGCTGCTTACTTGGACTCGAATTCAATCCTGGCCATCAGGCGCAAGCTCGGTGGCCTAGAGGTATGATGCCAGGCTAGTGATCTGGAGATCGTGGGTTCGAGTCCCACCCGAGAACAACTTGCGATTTTTTTCGCAGTTGCTTTCAAATGTACTGAGTATTCGATACATTTCCACGTCAGGTAGGGCAAAAATTTACACCTATCAAATACTCTTGTTTCACACTTTTTATTACTCGAAAAATCGATGTAATATTTATAGTGCCTATTTATGTGCCTTTGAAACTTGCCTCGGTACATTCTGTACGAGGTCATGCGACACGTATCAAAGTAGATACCAATGATGTAACATTTTAATTGATAGCATACTAAACTGACAAGTTGATTGTGTATAATGAATATTATACATTATTTGGTATGACACTCGCCACTGAGGAAGGACTAGTGTTGTCCGAAAGCTCTGGTTCTATTTCTGGCTGTTTACTTACGTTTACATTTTAGCTGTTGCTTATCATTTTTGTATCTCTACCGAGATCCAGCCATTATTTCCCACAGCTTT